CACAAAAATCCATGCAACTTTTCCAGAATCCATAGACGTTGCGGATTTGGGTTTTAGAAATTATTTGGGCAGTGCAAGTTCTGCTATTGCACGTCCCTATTTGCTCACAGTGACCATCTCCTTGTCTGTCTCACATCTGAGGCTCTCTGGGATCCACAGCCCAGCTGTGTCAGCACCTCAGGCCCCAGAGGAGCTGAGCAGGGAGGGATATTCCCATCGTACCTGAAATACRATGCTAGTGTTAAGTCTACAGCAGCCTCGGGAGTCAGTGACCTTTGCTCAGAAAGAGGATGGGAAGTTTCCACAGTCTGGCCCTTGGAGCAGGTTTCCAGGAGTTAAGGAATCCACATGCCAAGCTCCATTTAATGCAAATTTAGATGGACATTTTATACCTGTTGGAAGGACATTGAGACACCAGGCTAGGCAGAAATTGTGGTGGTAGTTGGAAACTAAGCCACTATGCAGAAACCACTGTAAAACACAGGTAGAGAGGGGAGAAATGGACTAGAGAGTTGTGGGATCTTTTTGTTTGTTTCTGTTCATCGGAGAGTATTGCTGGGTTCTAGGCCCCATTCCCAGCATTCTTGTATTTAAACTTTAATCTATAGCACATAAGCAGTCCTGGGAGCACACCACTCATCCTCTGGTACCTTCCAAAGAGCTATTGCAGGCCAGCAATTCCACCAACAGCCTTTCCCTCATTCTCTGGCTTTTGCAGGAGTTGAGGCTCAGCTTTGCACCCTGCAAACCCTCCCCGCTGTTTCAGTACTTTTCCTTGCCTCACCCCACGTGATGACCCASTTTTGCTGTGGGATGGTGAAGGGTGGTTGCTGCGCTCCTGCCCCTAGAGGTGGTATTTGCCCAGGTGAGGTTTGTGATAGTCCCGTGACAGCTCTTGATGTTGCAAGGTCGCTGCTGAAAGGACACACACAAACCTGAGAAATCTTCACAAGATACTTGACTTGTGCTGCCTAGCCCACCTAGAAATGTGTCTTCCCCAATATTGCAACTCTCCTGGTTTACTTTGGTCCAGAAGCTGWTTCAGATGAGGATGCTTGTGGAGCAACCTGGCAAATGCACATAAATCTCTGGCAGGCCCCTGTGACTTTAGCAGAGAGCTCTGACCGCAGAACCGCGTTGGTTTCAGAGTGCCCAAAGGACATTCTGCTTCACTCACCAGCCGTGAAGCTGGATTTAAACGGATTTTTCTGAAGTGCCCATGTTGCTGCTGCTCCTCACCCAAAGCCCTGCCTAGCAGCTCCAGCAGCAGCTTTGCTTTGGGCACTTTGTCCTGTTCGAGCCTGAGCCCGTCTGCACCCACAGGTAGTGCTTCCCTTCACCTACAGCCTCCGGGGTAGCATAGGGTTAAAAAGGGCTAAAAGAGAATTAAAAAAACTTGGTAGCTATAATATGGACACTTTATAGGTAATAGTGCACTTGCCTTCTTGCCATCAATAACCATTTTACACAGATGAGAAAGCAGCATTAGGTATTTGGAAGCAGCCAGTGTCACTAGCTGAAATAACTCACTCCAGGCTCAGCCTGTGGATCAATAGCAGAATACTCCTTTTGGTGCCTGCTGACCCACATCCACACAACCCTGCTCATCCAAAKGGCTAATAAATCCTTCCTGTAAGGATAGTACATTCATGGGATACAGCATGACACTTTCTCCCCTTTGAAGCACAAGTCTTAGAAAGCCTAAGAACCCAACACAGAAACATCTTCACAGATCCCAAACTCCTCCTGACAGCACTTTCCTGCACATTTTCTTGCCAGACTTTCATAAATCCTGCTAGCAGGCTGTGATTGAAAAGGAAGGCACAGTCCAGTGAATCACTAAGTGCCTGACCTCCAGAAAGATGAAGTTTCTCAGTAAAATCCACCTAAGTGGGTAAGCCTTTTTTTTTTTTTTTTTTTTTTTTTTTTAAATTCCCTGCACATTTTCTTGCCAGACTTTCATAAATCCTGCTAGCAGGCTGTGATTGAAAAGGAAGGCACAGTCCAGTGAATCACTAAGTGCCTGACCTCCAGAAAGATGAAGTTTCTCAGTAAAATCCACCTAAGTGGGTAAGCCTTTTTTTTTTTTTTTTTTTTTTTTTTAAATTCCCTACCCTGTTAAGCAGGTATTGATAGCATTGGGTTTCAAAGTGCTGGGTTTCAGCAAAACTTACCGATTTCAGACAGGAATTCAACAGTATCCATAAAAGTTAAGTTGTGGCAAGGCTGCTCATTTATAGTTAAACCTAAAGGTGCTGAGCCCGTACTAAGCTTAAGTAGGACAACCTCTCTCCTCTCTTCCACCACCCTGTTTTCTGGTTGCAAACTAGTGCTGATACAAACACTTCCACCTTACCCTTTGCTTCTTTCCAGTTGCTTGCAAGTCACTTTTGGGAGGACTTTTGTCTCACTTCTTCCAGAATCCCAGGCACCTTTAGAGAGACTAAAATGAGCAAACAGCAGCAAATTCTTTAATTCCCACAAGGAATATCAATTACCTGATTGCAGTGCTGTGAGAAGCTAGAATTTTTCCATAGCTGTGTGGCAAAATTCCCAAAGCCCCTCTCTTACGGATGAAGAGGGATGTTTCACCTCAACATTTCAGCCAAATGCCCCTTCAAGTAATACATCTCCTGCCCAGATGCCCCAACATAAAACATACTGACAAAGAGTTAAAAGTGAATGCCTGCAGTTGTTTTATTTATATCTAACCAGCTAGGAGGGGTTGTTATATAGGAAATACCAGCAATTGCCAAAGTGATGCAAAACTTTTCTTTGCAGCTACTTTTCAGAGTTTTTTCCTCTCTCTCTAAGTTTGCTGCACATCTAAACTGGAGTATGGAGCAAACTGATGCTAGATGAAATTCTTTTGTACCATTTGATTATGCAAAAAAAAAAAAAAAATGCAGACACTGTACCCTGAGAAGAGGGAGGTCCATCAGCAGTGAAAAGGGGCTAGAAATTGCATTTCAATTGCTAAACTCTGCTGTAGGCAAGATGCTTGAAAACATTTCTTGGCCTCCATATAGCATTTGGAGCCTGGATTACTTCCTGAGTCAAAACAAGAGTGTAACACTTGCTCCCCCGGCCCTTCACAATGAGCTGAGCCAGGTGGCCGAGGCCCATATCCTAAAACATCCTGGGAACAGTTTTTGCTCCCGAGGATGGAGCTGTAGGTCTCCTCCAAAGCAAGGATCCATAAAGCAACTTTTTACAGGGGACTATAAAATCACTGATACGTCAGAAATGATGCTTTCTGTAGCAAGTAAGAACAAAAATGGCCAAAACATAATCCTAGGTTAACGTAGTAGCTATTTAAGGCATTTTTCCATACAGACTTGGAAGGTGCTTCCAAGCACCTCTTCATGTTTTGCTTCAGGAGAGGAGGGAAGGAGGAGAAAAAAAAAAAAAAAAAGGAAATGAAGAACTAACACTTCAGGAGGCATAAATTACATTCTGATTTAATGTTGCACTAGATGAATTTGGACCAAGATTGAGACCCAATAATTCATTATTCATTCCAGCTTAATGTTCCCTCTACTTAAGCACAGAAGGAATGCTCTGCTTCGATATTTTTAAGAAAACAATTTTGCTTGGGAAGCAGCTGCAAACTGCATGACTTTTAATTTTTTTTTTTTTAAATGTCAGTGCAGTTCATCACTTCAGTCTATACAAGTGAAATGCCAATAGGTACTTCTGGAGACTAAATTAAGGGGCCCCCCAATTCCTGCTTCAGCTCCTTTGTGGTGCAGTAGGGCTATGCTGCAGGTATAGAAACTAAATGAAACCAAAGGAAGAGCCCTGTGTTGCAGGAGAAGCACAGAGCAAACACAAGATAAGCTCTATAGTGTCTATAGAGAAAACTTTCCTTATAGAGCTGAGTGCTGAAGAGAACTGACTACCTACGATCTTGCAGTCCCACCCAGGARTTATTTCTATTCTGTGAGGAATCTGGACTTCAGGATGCTAAGGGAGCTGGGAGTCTCCTGGGTTCTTCACTTCCCAACAGGCTTCATCTCCAATATTTTGGCTTTCAGAAGCTGAGAACAAAATAAAGCCTTTTAAATGAGGAAACAGTTCTTCTATCAAGGGACATGAGCATGAAACCCAAGACACTTTTGTACCCATCTCCAGAAAAAAAAAAAAAAATAAAATAAAAAAGCCACCAGCATGAGCAGCATGAGAAAGTGTATGGCATTTTGTAGCTCTGACTCATGCTCTAAGACTTCCATCCTACTCCCTGCACACASAAACACATCATTTAGAAAGGTAAATCAGCACTGAACTGCTTGAGCTTCCTTTGAGAGTCCCAGTGTAGACGAAAGGTTCTGCAGAGAAYGGTATCTTTTTATTTTCCTCCCAAGTGCAGCATTAGCAGTGCAAACGGGGACAGAAAGAGCAGGAGAGAGGGGCTGCCTGAGCTTGCGCCCAAGCTGCACTCAGGCGCTTCCGTCTTGCCTTCCGAATACCTCTCTGTTAGGACTACATATAGTGCTCACAGGAAAACTCCAACACACATCTCCAGACAACATTTAAGCAAATAAATATTCTACTAGTAATAACCCAAGCTGAGAGAGATCAAATTAGTGGCAAATGCAACTACAGTTCCTGAGACTTGACTATATCATCTGCATTTTACCCACTCTTTCCACACTTATTTTTTCTCTCCCAGCAAATACAAAGATGGGATGAAATTGGAGAACGGTTGAGTTTGAATACTGGCTGTGTGGAATACTGTCCACAGCGAGTAGATTTATTGATCTTGGCACAGATTTTTCCCTAAAACCATTTAATTTTCAGCTCATTTGCATTTCTGGAGTGGCAATGTAGCACACTTCACAAAAAATTAGACCAGAACACAGCACGCTTTGGCTCCAAATAAAAAAAAAAAAAGCACAGTATTTATTAAAACATAAGAAATTACAATGAAATGAAAAAACAAGACAATAGAGAACCTCTATCTGCCTACAAGAATAAGACAAGGAATATCTAAATTCCAGGAAAGAGTTTTTCTGAACTCCCAATGAGAATTTTGGAAGAACTCAACAAATTCTTCCCTGGAGAACAACCAAAGAGACTCCAGTCTGGGGGTCCTGGAAATGCTACACATCCTGCAAGAAGGGTTACGGAGTTTAGCTTGCCACTGCCGGTCCGATACCTTACACTTGTTTGGACTTCATAACTTCATGCTGTGCTGCTGTTCCTGAGGAATCATTCTGGAACCAGTGCAGCCATGGCCGAGATGATACCAGACTAGTGCAGGCTATTTAGTCCAAACAAAGAAGTTGAAAGTGGGACATAGTTCCATTCTAACCCCAGATAGAACCAGAGTCCAAGGCAATATTCCAGCTCAGCACCACACCATGGTTTCCATGGGTATGTTCTAGGTTGTTCAGAGAGTGGCTTGAAGACCTTGCCATGACATTGTATTTCCCAGTGTAAAACGCCCTTATAGCACCTCCTACTCAATGGTCTTGCTGGAATCTAACACACAAAACATGTGGCATTTCTTCTCATCTCACCTCACTTACCTTGCTTTTGAGAAACATCAGGCAATAATTATGGACTCTTTTCTAACATTTTAGATCCAGTGTTTCACAAGAAAAAGGAGCAGATGTGCAAGAAAGGGGTTAAGAGGTTTGAACAGTTTCCTCATTTCAGGTGAACAATTGACATCCTGAGTAATTTTCATGAAATGGAGAAAGGTTTCCCATCATGAAAAAGTTTTAATTCTTTCAACTGCTTCCTCCATCTGGCTGATCTGCAGAAGTTTATGTTACAGTATATTTCTGATTAAAATGCTGGACCCAAAAATCACTGGCCAACAAAAGAGCTTGATTGATATTCAACATTTTTTTTTAATGCTGCTCTCTTCATTACACCAGAGCAACCTCAGTGGAGATAGATATTTGTTCTTCTTGCCTCAGGTTCACAGAGATGTTGACTTCAAATTCATTGCTGTGCCTGTCTCATGTTGGTATCTCTTGGCTCTTCTTGCTGACACAGCCCAGACGAGCAGCGAACCTGCCAGGACTCCAGCCACGGCTGCCACAATAACAGCCCAGTAGGGAACTGAAGGTTCAGTTTTCACTGAAACGGGAGCTGCATTTCCAAATCCACTGTTCCTTACTGTGAAAAGAAAGGGTTTCTCCTACAAAGARAGATCAGAAGGGCTTTACCGACCACAGATGACTCAACAGGCAGCATTCACACAATATGCCATCACCCTTTCCCAGAGAGGGAATRTCAGTCTTCAGCAGATTATCAACCACTTCTTCCTTCTGACTTCTTCAGCCCAAAAGAATTAAAACTATTTTCTGCTTTATAGGCCGAAGGTTCTTGAAAGAACAAAAGAGGAACTGCTTCAGAACCAGCAGTGGTGGCATCAATTCCCAACTCATTTGCTGCAGTCAAATGGAAACACGCAGACTAGGTAAAATGAGCTTAAGTGAGAAGACTTCCGATAGAGAGGAAGATTTTTTTTTTTTTTTTTGCATTAAATCTCAAGTAGTTTTTCCGAAACACCTCCCATGTGATATCGTGTTATAGAACAGGAAGGTATTTTTGCTGTTTTAAACCTTCAGAAAAACACTCTTTTAGTGAACATTACCAAYAAGTAGAAAGGAGAAAAACTAAACACTTTCAAAGAATAGTATGTGCATCTTCACAGTACTTACCAGGGTTGGACACTTGAGTTTTGATCTGTCATGGGTAAAGTTGTTGTAACTCTGTTTCTCACCAACTGGCTCCAACTTAAAAAATAGAAAAGTAATAGTAAACATAATGCTGATGTTCGCTTCCCCAARCTCTCCCGCCTTGAGTAGTTACAAYTTCTTATCCAATCTTTTAATGCTTGGAACAGTGAATAAATGTGGGAGAAGGTAGATCACAGGAAAGTTTCCCAGTGTTGTGGCACTCRTGAACCAAAGGCACTGAGGATCTACTCAACTGCTCAGAGTCTCCTGGAGAGCTCCCTAGGAATGAGGTGCCTGAGAAGCCTTTCCTTCCTTTTGTGCCCAGCACACAAGAAAACAACACTGAATAATATCTTCATTAAATATACTGGTAAAACAAAGCGATTTGATGYATATCTATTTCTCCCTCGATACACGCATCCCAAATGACAGGAAAAACCATAGGGAGCAAACCACAAGACAGATGTCAATTATGTTACTTAGCATAGCACTGAAAGAAAGATGYTTAGATGCTTCAGAAATAATGTAAGGTTAGAGATTGGACGAGATCACACCAATCTTTACAACCTGTACTCAAACAAGAAATTTCCTGATAGTTTTAGCTCAGGCTATGTTCACCAGACTCAAAGAGCTGCGTTAAGCAGAGCCTTATATATTATCAGCTAAGCTGCACTAATAGACTAGGCTCACCCTAAGTGCATTTCGTATGCAGAATAAAGTAGGTCCAGGCATTTGTGGCTGGCTGGGAGCGCACATGCCATCAGTTACCRTGGTTAAGGCAACAAGCAGGAGCTTGCTCAGTCATGTTAGCCAAAGTGTTTACAACTGYGTATGAACACGCCTGAAGTAAAGACTTCAGGAGTGGTCTACGGAGAATAGCAGAACAGTCATCCAGCACTTCTGGGAATACAGCGCAGAGGAGTGCTGTTGCCTTCTGCTTTTATCTTTACAGGCATTTATTGTCCTCAGGAGATTAATGTGTSAGCTGTATGCGGAAAAGGAACAATTTCTCCACTACATACACTGTGGGGAAGAAGAAAGAAAGTCTACTAATAAGATTCCTCTAAGGAAACACTGGGAATACTCCCTCTACAATCTGATGATAAGAAGTGGAAGTACACACCAAAAAAAAAAAAAAATAAAACCACCAATGAAATTTGTGGAAGGTAGCATCTTTTATATTAAAAACTTAGGGAAAGAAAGTTAACAAATGTGGAAAGATGAGAAGCAAAACAACTGGATTCCATTTTTTTTCCAGGATTCCAAGTTCTGACGATTGCCACAGATTCTGCTACTGCATAAAGGCAAATGGTGCATAGAAGCCTTAACTATTTGGCCTTTCTGCTAGCAAATGTKGAGAAGACTGTTTTGGTAGTTTTGTTCCATTTTAAAGGGAACAGCCAAAATTCTGCTGCTATTATTTGTAAGCTACATGGCTTGCATCCTACAGTGTTCTGTCTGCAGTCCAACTGGTTATTTGTAGATAATTGTAACACTTCCCATGCCAAAGCACTTCGTAAGGAGCCTGGCTTAGAGCCCAGACATGGATGATAAGGTGCAAAATTCTGTAGCCAGTATTTGCCTCTTCTCTCTGCACCCTCTGCTTCAGAAGCATGAGCTTCTCACCTCTGAGGACAACTGCCTCACGCAGACCCTGTGTGTAAAGGCCAATTTTTGGAAGAAAGCAGCACGCAGCTCCTGCAGAGCCCTGCAGCAAACGTGGAGACAGAAGACAAGCTAAATGCACTGTCCATGGGCTCTTCTTGTAGGCCAGTAGACTGGTGGGTCCCTAAGACAACAGAATCTTCTGCCTTGGAAGTGTTTTGCTGTCCATGAAATAGGGCAGGACAGAGCAGCAGGGGAAGGAGAGGCCCTTTAAGCCACTGCCATGCCTGTGTGCCCACACAAGGGCCAGGCACAGTCCTGCCCTTTATGTGCACTGTCACTTGGCCACGAGCCTACAGCCTGCTGAGCTTTTCAGGGAACAAGAAAACAATACCAGCCTTAGAGTAGGCTTGCACAACCTCTCCGTACAAGGACGGAGAGTGAAAACAGAGATGTGTTACCAGAACTGTATTTAAATAATAAACAGCCAAATCTTTAGCTAACACAGATCAACAGAGCTCTGTTGGAGTAAATAGTTTTGCTTAACATTAGTACAAAGCTGGTTCCCACCACCCCAAGAGAAGGCTTTATATCAATATTCTTGTGTGCGTAGGAAATGAGCGACAGCCTGGGCAGGATGAAACTTGGGTGGCATAGAAAAGGGACTGATCATGATTCAGGAATGAGTAATGACCAGCAGAAACACCACGTGGCAGGAGAAGCCTGGCATAATGCTACCAGATGCCCAGGTACGTTTTTCCCCCTCCTTCTTGCACCTACAGCTTTTGGCATTTGCATTTGAGTGTTTTCTACATTTGTTTGGGGCTTTCCGACCACTGTTAGCCCTAATATCAGCAGCCTGATAGGCTTTACTGTGCACCTGAATGCCCAGAGAGTGAAGTCTGACATTGAAAAATAGGCAGATTTGTTGTGTGTGCACAAATCAATGGTTTACTGCAAGTGCACACACTGGCAATATATTGCTTCCTATAATCCTGGCCTTCAGCTCATACGCTACACTGAGCAACTGCGGGGGTTTCTGCTCTGTATTTCCCAGTCCTTGAGCTCAAGTTCACTCCAGAGAATCCTGCAAGTTTCTTGTTTCACTCAACCTATTGATTAAATCGAAAAGCAATTTGCCTCCAATTATGCCCGTTTCTTGTATTATCCAGGATACAGGACCTATGATAGCATGCACAGTGTGTTTGGGAACTGGTGTTTATAAGAGAAGAGGAACAAATGCAGCTGCAGCATAAAAATGCCATAGTATTCCTTCCACGGTGGAAAAAATATTGCTCTGAAAGCAACTACAGCCTTGGAGTCGCCAAGTTCATCATATGCCCTTCACACACTCCACCAGCACTACTCAAAAGCTGTCATTTCTTCCCCAAATGACAGAAGGAATATGACTGCAGAGGAAGCCTAGGTACAATCTCAGCTCAACGTTAGTTTCAGTGACTACTAGAATTGCCTGAGTTGCTAGAGTGGGTGGTACAACATGTCTATACTATTAATGGCAGCATAAACTCAATTGCATGTATGTAACAATTCACTGTAGAAGGGCAGGCTAATTCAATATAGGTATTTTTTGGAAACCTTCAAGATTGAATGTTTGGATAGACTGAATCTGATTTAACACAAAACATTTGCCAAACCAGGACCTCTTCTTAGAAGCTCAGGATTCCCCCTCCTTTTATTCCCTAGTGTTTTATTTTGAACAGCTTTCTCATGATCTTTTTGTGGTGACCCCCATCACAAACACACAAGTTTCTATATGGCAATTTCTTACCATATTATTCCAGAGAGCCACAGCCATCTCAGCATAGCCTCTTTCACTGAAATGAAAGCAATCTGTAGAAAAGAAACTCAAATCTGGCTTTCCATTCTGCAACAAAAAGCAAAATAGTTTTCTCAGCACTTATTAAACTTAGAGATCTGACATACCGTATCTAAAACCACACTGAAGTTGGCATATTCCCATCACAAGTTTACAATCTTCTTAGTGGTATTCTTAGTGGTGATATATTCTTATGTTGACACTGTACATAAACTTAAGTACCATCTATCCACAAGCTGAGTACTGCATCTTGAGACCTTCTGCATAACAGTCTGCTCAACTTCAGACAGCAGTTTCCATGCCAAAATTAAATTGTCATTGAACTGACAATCATAGCTCTTACAAGGACACTATCATTGACCCATAACCTAGCTCACAAAGAACTGATAGGAAACTGGATGCTTGTTTTTACTTAAGCTCAGCCTCAGAATTTGAAGTTTGTGCTATAATTCAGGTGAATGCTCAAAGTTGTTTGCTTATCCAGCTGTAGCAAGTATCTTTCCTATGGAAAACTTGCCTTATCATTGTCAAAATGCTGGACTTCAAGTCTGTCAGAACACAATGGTGGTGATATAATAAAAGAATTATGCACAATTGGGTGATCTGAACTAGGATTCATGCTTAATCTTCATTTACCAAATGGCACAGTATACAAAGTGTTAAGGCTCAAGAACAAGAGAATTAGGCTTAGGTTCCAAAGGGGCTTCCTATTTCTATGCTGGGACAAACCAAGCGTACAGCGTTTTCCAATATGTAATCTGGTCTCCACATGACAAAAACACGAGCATATTTCATAACTTAGACCAGAAGAGAATTCTGGCACATATTAGTCCTAGTCCCATATGCGGACTATAGGGAAACCAAAAGAGGAACCAATATATAATAAAAATTAAGCCACAGGGTGYTCCTATTTAATTCATGCACACTTGGAATGTTTCCCAAAGCCACTTTAACTCACAGGAACTACAATCCTCCCCATTTTCTTCCCTTGCTTCCCTCACTACAGGCTCCACACTGAACTGCTAGACTACATAGAGAAGACTCAGTCCTCATTCCGTGGATCATAATAATATAGACAGAACAAGATACTGGTCCCCGAATGACAAAAAAGAAAAAACACCACTCACACTGTCCAGGGGCACAAAGGTGTTTCGGAAAAATGGTTGCATGACAACTGCAAAGTCTTCACGCTGTTCATATCGACCACTGTTGACCATCTGTGAGGCTTCAGCCTGTGTGGAGTTGCATGGTCAAAAGCAGAAAAGTCACTTACAGGGTTCATCTAGCTTTTGTCAACAATCACAAAACCATGCATATTACACTTCTCGCTGTGTAGACAACCATAAATCATTAAYATAAATTCAGCCGGATAGTGTAAGGCATTCCAGAGTATGACAAAGAAAATAAATCTGGTTCATGAAGAGATTTTTCATGAGGAAAACGCAAAGAGGCTAAGATAATTTATCTGAAAAGTAGAGATGACAGTTTTTTTAAACATACTTTACAGCTTATAAAACCAGTGCCACAGAACGTGCAACAAGATTTAAAGTTTACAGAGAATTCAAATAAAGGAATAAACCCTGATTTTTAGCAGTTACAAATGAGTTCAGAGTGTCAGTCTGATGCTTTAGAARTCCATCTACTTTTTCAGAAAGCAAAGAAGGCATTGAAAGTCAGCTGCTACTTTTTAAAGTTACAGCCATGGACATTCATGCAGATAATGAAAGCATCTGATTACTACTTGGCAGTTCATGGGTATAAACTCTTGCGCTTCTGGTCATATCTCCAAATACTCTTAACTCCACTTCCTTAGTTAAGAAACATTCCTCCTTGGGCAGGATTATATGAATGTATTTTAGGATGGATTTTTTTGAGCATTATCAGACTCACCAAGCGACATCCTCTGCTAGAGGCAGAATGGTGAACTAGAGAAGATGATTTGAACTGTTACAGCGATTCCTACTTTCATATGAATAATGATGAAAGATTCTTCTGCTCCAGCACTTTAGAGCTTTTGTTAAGTTGGAGTGAATCCTATGCCTTAGGCTATGACAAGTTACTCTCRGATTACAAGCTGACCCCATGGTAAAATATCTATACATACAGTCTCAGCTTGTGGGGGAAAAAAATAYCAGGAAAACAAACTGAAATAGCCTAAGTGTTACCACAAAACAGCTGATGAAAGTTAATTTGTCACCCTTACAGTGATGCGTTAATTTATGAAAACTGTTCACCAGATTCATGATGAACAAAAAACCAACACAAAACAGATGTCAGCAACTCCTTTTCAGCTGCCCAAATAGTAAGTGGAAACAGGAGTGGTCTCAATCTCTCTCCATCTCAGAACTGGGATCAAATAATAAGGCAGCACAGAAAGATTTGTATTGCTGCTAACCAGGTAGCTGGCTGGGGTTTTGGGCTGGAGCCACACTTGATCCTACCTATCTGCTCAAGGTATGTCTGTACCTACCTTTACATCTGTACATACCTTTACATCCGTAAAGGTACATTTGAGAGGAACAGAAATGAGGGAAACTGCTAGAGGGGGAAAAAAATGTAGAGAAACGGGTGCAGGTGATTGTTTCAGAATTAAGGTGTTACCTGAAAATCTCTGTTGACTCTCTTCATTTCTTGCAGTTCAGAGGAGTTTTCCTTGGGGGTTAAGAAACATGGGCAAAAATTCCTTCAGAGAAAGAAATACTAAAATTAATAGTTAACATGGAACAGTCTATGTTTAGCAACAGATTTGGTTTCAAGAAGCTCAGCATAAGTGCTCAAAAGCTCAAATGGAGGACAATCACCCTACTGGCTTTGAGATGGGCAGACACATCAGAAAAATATTCCTGTTGAAACCTCTCCTGTCCAGTTAAAGCCAATAAGAAAGGCAGGATTCAGAATTCTTGAGAACCAGGAACAAAGTGTATATTGTGCCACGTATTAGCAATAAATAACAACATGTTAGACTAAGCATGTGGTGTGTAATAACAACAACAAMAAAAAATCTACTCTGCTTTCAGGAGAATTTTCAGAAATCTTGGAGTTTAAAGACAGAATCCAAATTGCTCATGAAAYATGACTCCTGAAACGATTGTGTTTCATTGTTACCCCGGTATCAAGGGATAATTATGTCTGCTTGACTGAAATGTATACTGAGAGGAGGATCTGGTAGTAATGTGAAGACATCAAGCAGGACAGTCAATTTACCATTTTCCTTTCTAGTGTCTTCCAGCAGTTAACTGCTTTCATTATAAAACAGGTGCCTAACTTCATTAGGCATCAGCTTCCAGCCACCGGTCTTTGTTATACCTTTCTCTGCTTCACTAAAGAGCTTTTTCATGCCCATACTGGCTCCTATGAAGTCACTATTGCTCTGTAAATCATAACTCAAAGAACACTGAGAAAGAAGAAGTCTTCTTTGAGTTTCCTCCCTTGGGTGTGAAAAGCAGTTTCTGATTCTTCATTCTGCTTACCAGAATAGGGTAGGCATCACTGAAGGGGGTGCCGGCCTCTATAGATGAAGAGGCTTTGAAGCTCAGTAATATGACAATTATGTGGTGATGTTATATGTGCTGCAACCTGTACCTCAGAGCTGAGCGAAGTGATGATGTACAACTATGGGTGCATGTCTTTTAGCCAGATTATTGGAAGAAGCAATAGTAAGTTGATGGGAACTAGTGCATTCACTTAAAGGCAGCAATGAAAGCAGCTTGAAAAGCTCAGTATGGATGTCATGCTGTAGCAGTGGTTTAGATTGATCAAAAAAATTGCCCTTTGAAAGGTGAACTTCTGCTCTACTCACATTTCTGCCACGGCACACTCCGAGGAGCTTGCTGCTATCTGACGCAGTCCAGACATCTCTAGGATCTCCACCATGTTGACAAAGACTCTGGGGAGCTGCAGGGATTAGAACAAACAGTCACAGCGAGTCAGTGAACACGACAGCACTACAAAGTGAGGAAGAAGTAAGATGGGTAGGTCAGAGAGCAAGTGCAAACTGCACTGACTGCACCCARTGGCATGTGGAAGGGTGGTGTATAAGGGCAAGGAGCAGGGAGGCAGGGAGGCAAGTCATGGATGTCAGCCAGAAGGTAAGTGGCAGCATGCATAAGCTGGCTGAAACGTGGGGGCTTCACTCCCTGGGACATTTCTCTTTTCTCTAGAGTAGGAAACACCTTGGGCAGTTGGTCTTGCCATCAAAACTGGTAGCAGGACAGACTCAGTGTTTATTTTACGGTGTGAAATACATTTTTTTTTTCTCCTGAAGCAGCAGCCCTCTTTCTCAGGGCATTATTTAACACACTCGTTAAACTTCTCCTCAGTGCTGCATTACAACTGCAGCTATTTGGAAGATGACCTTGAATGAAACACAAGCACTGACAGTCTATCGGGATGAGACAAACATCACCAAGTTTGCCAGGAACATAGTCTGCTAACATATCTTAAAACCTTACCTCATTATAGAAAATATCCAAAGTATCCTGAAGGTGTTTTATATACTTTTTTACTGAATAAGTTTCCTGTGCAAATAAAAACAAACAGCAAGAAAAGATCAGTCTCCTTTCAGTAATCAAGGAGCTTAACTGCTTGAACTGGACRGAGCCCCATGAGAAGATGCACAGATTCAATGCTCCTTTTTCTTCCTCTAGTAGCACAGATAATATTTTTTGGATCAAGAGATTTATTGCCACACACACAGAGGTTATACAGTGTTTGCTTTTCCAAGTAACTAATACATTCCCTTAATCTCTGCAGACCCATCCCCCAGGTTTATATAATTTTTGGCAGAGCCTTTCCACGATAAATGACTCCATAAATCACACCTCACAATTTCATGGTGTCTTTCATGGGGCCTAGGCTAGAGGTATTTGGTTTATGAACAAAGTAATTTTTTTTTTCATAAATTGTCAATTTAGGGAAGTGGAGATGGAGACAGTCAGGCCTCTCAAAAAATTCTCRGGCAAAACAACTTTGTGAGGGTAATTGTGAAGATGTAGCTAAACGGAGCAGGCAGAAGCGCAAGTTAGTGTCCTTCAAAGGGAAGAAAAGGAAAAGTGACTGAGCAATACCTGTCATTTCCATGGGCTGGAGTCCAGGCCCACAGTCTGTGCTATGGGAACCTTTCTAGAGGGGATGATAGCTGCCAAAAAGTCACTCCTCTCACTAGAAACTGTTGAGTTTCATTTGGCATCTTTTTGATGCAATAACCAGGTATCTCCAAGAATTYTTGCATGGAGACTCTTTCCAGAGTAAAACTTCATCCATGTCTCTAAGAACATATATAAGACACTATACTGTCTTGAACGCTTTGCCTAGCTGGGCTGGGAGACCTCTTCACTTTATACTCCATGTTTTGTTCAGTACGGTGCAGATTTCTGGCTTCTAAATGATGCATCAGTCCAGAGCTATGGAGCCCCAATAMTAAACTCTGCGTGCTCCCTTCTGGTACAATACAGATGAAAGGAACAGCAGGTCTAAGTGCTCTTTTAGACAAAGAGGAGCTTTGGCTTCCTGAAAATGTGCCCAGGCTACATTTCCAAAGCTGGTCACCTGCCAAGTGCCCAGACTAGCATGCCTAATTCGGAGATACCAACCTTGTCCAAGCAGTACTGACACAGGTCATTGCCTCCAACAAAGACAGTGATCAGCTTCCAGTCCTCCTTGAAGTTGATTTTCTAGAGGCACATAAAGAACAGATTGCAGCGTCTTCCTGGCTCAGAATTGCTTAGCCATGCAGAGGTAACAAGGAGGGTGAAACAGGCCGCAGGCAGCAGGTCAGAACAGCAGAAGGGAGGTTTTGAGTTAAGAAGGCAGAAGGAAACAGTCTGAGGGGAAAACATGAACTGCTTGCTCGCCTGGCCCTAATTCACTTGTTCTTTCAGAAAGAAATTCCCTTTGGCAGTCGAAACATTGCCAGGGTAGCCGAGGAGGGAGCCTGGTGCGTCTCCGCACCAGGAAGCACGCCGGGATGGATGCTAGCTGCAGGACGGCGCTGGGCAGGCGGGATTCGCCAGGCACGGGCGGACGCGGCCGGCGGCCGGCGCGGGGCAGGGAGCAGGATCCRTGTGTGACTCACGGGAGCAGCCCGGGCTGCCAGGGAGGGAGAGGCGCGCTCCAGAGGACAGGCAGCTGGATGGAAATAGAAGRGCGGCCAGGAGGCGGGCGGCTCCAGCCAGCTCATATAAGGGCAGCTGCAGCATCCGCGTCAGCGCAGCTAACAATAGGAGAGAGCTGGAACGCGGAGCGCTTTGTAACGCTCCGCACGAAGCGAGCACTCGGAGACAACTATTTTTGGAGCGGTGCGTTTACATAATAAACATCTGCGAGAGGAGCCCACAAATAGAGGAAGGGCCTGGGAATCGCTCACTGCTCCAAACTCCTCCTTAACCCCAGGCTTTGCTCGGGAAGCCTTTTACAAGAGACAAAGTGCAACAGGGATTTCCCCCCATTCCTTTTGAAGCAGCACAAAAAGCAGGGAATAAAGCAAAGCTCCTATTATTTTACTCCAGTGCCAGCTCCCCTCACTCTGCCAGAGAGTCAGTAACGTGGAGTAACCGATAGCAGGGCCAGCACACAGCACCCATTAAGTGTGCTGGTGCAGGGAGACACGTGCTTCGACAAATCCTGCTTATTCACCACCTTCCTTTTCCAGTCAGCCTGCGCCAAGGAGCACCAGGCACTCCCCTCCCTTGCACAGCCCTGTCCCCAGCCCCAAAAGATGACACCCATACAGCCATGTGCTGGGGCAAATGCAGCCAGCACGTGTGGAAGCCCACTGAGACTGCCCCCCATTTCTCACCCCCAGAACTCTACACAGCCCTTACCAATTTCCCCAAACCTTGTGTTCCCCAAACCTTCACCCCTCACCCCGAGCATCTTGGCCAGATATTACTATTTGCCAGGTAAGAACCAAGGTTCTGAGGGTCCCAATGCCCTGGGAGGACCTTGGTCACCCACCTCCCTAGCACTGCCRTGCCCCAGACTCAAACCCCAAACTGGGCAGCACGGCTGGTGTTGGTCACCACATCCCCAGTCGAGCAGCCTTGTGCTCAGTCTTTACAACTTCCACATTTAAGGTCGCTGCTCACCTGTACAGTCTGATTTCCTCCATCTTCTCATCCTCCCATCCACCCCACTACAGTTTTTAGAATCCTTGTATGAATTTAATTAGTCTCTCACTGATCTTCTTCCTTGTGTGCTCGCACAATACCTATGTGGAATTTTATAGGTAAATTTAATCCCCTAGTGGTAGTGACTGATCCATTGAGTTTTCACAGTGGAAAACACAGAAAAAAAAMCACTATTTTTCTTCCCTCTATAAAGCACTCTTTACCACTCAAATATCCCATCAGTTATGGTTACCTATCAGAGACCACAGGATCATTGAGGGGTAGTTTGAGTTCCCTACCCTGATGGCCCAGAGGAGTCATCCACTTACCGAGCTGCTTCTCATTAGCTCCACCAGTTCACGTGCTTGGGATGACATATTGCTACAGAGAGGAGAGAGAAGCACTTTAGATGCATGCTCTGAAAGTGCATCATCTTCCTGCTCTCCCACTCCTCCTGTCAGGGACCCTCAGGCAGCAGAAATCAGAACAGGGAAAGTAATGCCTCAAGAGGGAGTGAAGACAAACAAGGGTTAAGAACAGCAGCAGCAGCTGAAAAAGTGAATAATCTGACCTGAAAGGGCTTCAGTTAGGATGGCTGCCAAGTGGCAGGCAACTGCTATGAATTCTCATTTCAGAATTCGCTTAAATGTATTTTGTTTGGAGAAAATCACTTAGCCCTAGATGCACAGAGACATTTAGTTGCATAACTTTCTTCGAAATCCAGCAAGGGGGTTTGATGCTTACTCCTCAGCCAGGGACCTAAACAGCTTTCTTGATCTGCCCCTTAAATTCTTATGCCTTATTGCTGTGAGACACCGTGGTGATTTTTCCAGCTGGAGAGTCCCAGYCCCTCCCAGGGGAAGATGCAACATCCATGGAGTGAACCACAAACCATTTTGAGGTAGGAGGTGGAAACCTGACGTACTAGCACAGAGATACTTGGCCCAACAAGCCCTGCCTCTCTCCAGCAGCCATACAGATGTGGCTGCACTGGTTTACARTCCTAGAAGCATGCTGATTGCCCAAAGTCCTTGCTCGGTACATCCATGAAGTATTTCACAACCACATGCTTTCCTAGCTACCCTGAGACTCTCTTGTGGTAAATGTAGTGACAAAGTCTTAGAAAYAAACTGCACAAGCATCCATAGGGCAAGTACAGCATAAGCAATTTAAATTCTCATGTACTCTGGCTCTTGGACCAGGGGAGTTTTTCTTCAAGAATAGAAGGAAAACCCAACTGCTCATTCTGTTGTGCTTTGCACTTCAAATTAGGGCAACAGCGGGCTTCTAAGTGATCATTTGAGGCACACACACCAACTGAGAGATGATCATAAATTTTGTCCARTTAAAGACATGATCTGACAATGAATGAGGAACCTGCATAYCAAAGATCGGGTAGAAAAAGGAACTGATAGAATTAGAAGCATATTATCACTAAGGCATTGGCTTGGAGATACTGGGCAGAAGCCAGATGAAGGSGGGGGTTATCTCTTCCTCTAATTTAAAAAAAAGATAAAAAGAAATCCCTCAATGTTTTTAATTAAAAGACAACAGTCAGACCGCAGAAATATGCACAGTACAAGCAGACCAGTATTAACTCAGCCTTAACCAGCAGTTCAAAGATAACCTGCCAGTCCATGGGTTCTCACCCCTCTCTGCCCTCCCTTGGTGGCATTTGTGCTTACATTGCCTTGGCGCCGCCCACCGCTGCATTGAATCCAGCTGTTTCCTTGGCATGGCCAGTGGAGAAGCCAAAGAGGTTGGGGTTGAACTTTTTCAAGATATCTGAAAAGGAGCAGCAGATGTGATGGTTAGCCAGTCACAGGATAAACAGTATTGCTTCCTGTAGGAGTGCAAACCAATCCAGTGGGGAAAATATTAGCCTGGGCTTTCCCTTGATTTGTTGTTGCCGCCTTAACTCAGCTATGGACATCCCTGCCTCCGGGGCTTGGACATCCCTGCCTTGAGCATCGAAGCTCAAGTGCTGCAATTATCTCTCTTAAGGGTCTTCCAGGACGTGTGACATTCTTCGGTATGAGTGCTGGAGTGATCACCACTATCTGCCTTAATACTTGTGTTTGTTCAGATGCTCTAARCACAGAGATCTGCCTCACCCTTCCTCAACTACCCATATTTAATGCAAAGAAGTTTTATCTTGCATTTGGAGATTTCACCGAAACCCTCCCTGGGGAAGCATGATGTGTCTGTAACACTGTCTGAAACCTCTTCATAGTCMTATTTACAATGCTGCGTGCATAATAAAATGCGCTTTCTATTCCTCTTTAGACAAAGGCGTGGGGGGYACAAGCCAAAGCTAACCAATTTTACTCCCAACAATGACAGGCATTGTCAAGAGCGCTTCCCAGCATGGATCACATACAAAGAGATGAACTGTTGTGAACCAAGCACCCTCTAATTTATGGTCCCACTGACCACTTACAGTTTCCATGGCAACTGTACAGCCACTGGTTAAGCAGAATACTAGGACAAGAAATTTATAGTATTTTTAGATTTTTTTTTCCATTGCAATTTTGCAGCTTGAAATTGTTGGGAGGAACCATAACCTTGTCAACAGCCTTTGCTAGATGGGCCACTAATTGCTTCCCARTCCTTCATCTGTCCACAGCTAATATCATCAGACATTGGAAAGCACAAACCAAAACAAAGGAGGGGCAGGTCAGCCTTGARCTTCTATCACCTTTCAGCACATTTGCTCCTCATCAGTGCCGTCAAAAAGATGTTACAATTACATGCAGATCCTGTCGTGTTAAGGAGTGTACAGCTAATAAGTTCAGCCTGTGTTGCAGCTGTGACTCAGATGATCTGCTTGTGTCCATAAGAGTCAGGCATCCTGCACTGCTTGGGAGGACTCTGTGACCATTTCCAGATGTTTCCTAACATCTGCCTGGACTACTTGGAGAATAATACATGCCTTTCTCTTTCACCATGTTGGTTTTCCAGGATACTCACTGGGTAAAGTAGTCTGAGTCTCCAGGGTCCCGTCACCTCCAATACTACAAAGGGAAAGAGCAGAAGCACTAAGTAAAACTAATCCTGCGGCCATCTGTCTTATTGTCACCATATGTTGCTGCTGTAGCAGCCAAGAAAGGAAAGGAAGGAAAAAAGACAAACCTTGAACAGGACTAAGAAGATAAACCACAACACCAGTAGGAATTCAGGGAAAGTACTAAAAGGAGATTGGGATGAAATCAAACYGCTAAGGCAGGCACTATGACTACAGCCTAGTAATAGAAAATGCTGTTAGAAATAGCTTTCTCATACATATTTGGTGTGATCCCATCACTAAAATAAATAATAAATATATCTCAAAAATATCTTGCCCCCTCCCAAAGTATTTCCTCACCAAAGTTACTCCATGTGAACTTTCTGCAACAGCACTCACGTAGGAGACTGCATTAAATGSTCATTAATGACCGATCAGGGATTCTGAAATGTAGACTTCTGCTTCTAGAATTTAAAGCTTGCCTATGTTCCTGTCTGCATGAGCAATAGGTTTCTATACCACCCCTATTAACCTCTCCTGAGCAGACCTATCCCTACATTATACATGCAGGAGAGGAAAAAAAGGATGAAGTGTATATACGTGCATGTGCTTTTCTATGCACTTCTACACATAGCAGGCAGTTTCCTTCCACTGTCAAAGATATCAAGGTTTGCACCTACCCAGACATATATTGTCTTTGATCATTTTGCTATTCTTTTCAAACAAGTTTAGCCATGAGACACTTTTTTTTTTTTTTTTAATATACATGTAGCACTCCAGGACAATCTATAATCTCTATCATTAAACAGTAGATAATCATGACAGTAGATAATCACAGTATCAGGAAAGTTTTGAATCACCTGCAGAGGAATTAGCAGGAGGTTGAAAACACACTAKCATTAACAGTCTAATACAGTCAGACTGGGGCACACTGACAGCAGGCAGACCTAGGTGAGAACCACCTCCTGCAAGAGTCTCTCCCACTTCTCTTCCATCCCATCTTGACAAGCAGCTCTTCTTTCCTTTCTTTCTCCATCTGCTAGTCTTCACCAAGCAATACTTGCTCTTAATCTCTTATCTCCACGTTTACTCCCTCCAGATAGGCATTGGTTGGATGGAGCAGGATTTAGTTACTACAGCTGTGGCAGCAGGTCCTTATTTAGGAYATATCATTCTCATCTTCTCAAGTATGTGACTACAGACACCCAGGTGTCTGTGGACAAAAATACCAGAGCATTTTTACCTCCAGGAAAGCCCCCTCCATTCTCCTTGTGGGTCTGTTGCTTGAGCTCCTACAGCAGTCTGAAAAGGAAAGGAAGAATTGTTTACAAAATACTAGATAAAAAAAATGCTAAAGACTAATTACAGACAGATATTTTGATTACAAAGCATTTTCCTTCTGCATTCATCAAAGTTTTTAAATATTCGTTYGGAGCTTACATACTTCATTCTCTGATTCACCAATATTCTTGCCCCCTAGGCAACCCTGTCTCTTATGGTTTAAATTCATGTTCTTCTCATATGCAAGACCAACTCTACTAGATAACAGGGCACAAAGCATCAGAGGAGATTTAGTCCTGCCACAAGGCATCAGACCACAAGATCAAGAACATATAGTTTGGAAATTACTCCTCTAATAAAGCTATTCCATTATCCCAAGGGGACTCAGATTAATATCAACAGCTTCCCCCCCCCCGGCCCTTTCTACTGGAAAATGCTTCAATTTGACATTTCCTAGAAAAAGAGCTGATTTGAACAAGACTTTATAATCCTAAGAATAAGGGGGGGGGGGGGGGGAAATCCCAGTTAGAGGAACTGTTTTTTTAATCTCTCAGAGAAACAAATTCTTTGTGTAAAATCCACTTTTCTCTGTTAGAATCAGTCTGCTAGTGTAACCCACCAACTTGACGATGTACAAGTGGGATATATATATTTTTTTCCAATACAATGTTGGCAAATCTATTACTTTCACTGTGCACTGGGGCTGAGAAGTCAAAAAACAGACACAGTCCAAGWAGTGGCATGACTAAATTGCTCAGTATTTCATTAATCTCCAGCTGTACCCAGACTCAGACTGGCCTGCCTGCAGTGTGAAATTAAATACCTCTTCTTTTAACAAAGGAAAGACATCAGAACAGAAGAGAGGTGATGGTTTTGAGAAACTCAWGGGCTTATAAGTGCGTGTTTAATTTTTATTTTATTTTAATTTAACTTCTAGCAAGGTCACCACCTTGGCTGCATTCAGGACAGAAATCATGAAAATAGGATCTTCCAAAGCTTAATAGTTTTAGTGGTTTCACTTCATTTCATACTCCTCAAAAAATCGCGGTGCAAGTTCAGCCATAAACATTGACTGCATTCAGGGCCTTCAGGCGACCTRTTAATTTCCACCTCCCCTGTCAGTAACACTTAAATTCCTTAAGAAAAGCCCCAGTCACACTGCAGAGACGAGTGCCAGTTGCCGCTGGCAAGAACAACACGAAATGCCATTTGCAACCCAGAGGGGTCTTGCTTGCTCTTGAGACAAGGACCTCGAGTCCCAAAATCTTGGCCCTTATGTCTATGGCATTCTCAGATGTTTCTTGCACTAAGAGAATGAAAATTTAGAAGGAGACGTGTGCCCTGCTAGGAGGAAGTCAAGCAATTAATTTTAGGAGTCATGGCAATCGATAGGAGGAAGGCTCACAGGGTCATTACTGAGGTCTTCTAAGAAAAGCTCAAAGCTCAGCAGGGGGCAAAGCCAGGATTATTTCAGGTCACACACATCCAGTTATCACAGCTAATGGGGAGGTGAAGACATGGCACACTCGCCTGTAGATAAGCCTGGTCATTTGAAGGCCTCAGCCCCTTCAACTCCCTCTGAACTCTAACTAGAGCTGAAGCAGCCAGAACAAGCACTGGTTTTGCTCAGGAGTCAGTCATCAGGACTGTTGACGCCAAGATTTGCTTTCATCTCATGCCAGAACAATTCTATACTGTTGTGTAATTCTGAAACTTTTTCCTTCAAGAGCTTCAGTGCAGATCTGCAGTATTCCCTGCTATACTTATTCACTGCCTCTTTTCTGTACCTATTCTTTTTCATTTCAGTTTGCATTTTCTCAGTACATGAAATATATCAGTTTTAAACAGAAGCAATATTTGCCCAACCCCGGAAGCAATATTTGAATGCAAAACACTGAAATATTGAATGTCAGAATGATCTTAAATGAGAAACACTCCATTTTGCAGTTAGTTATTTCCACAGGAGTTTTCATAAACATCTTTCGTTACATGAAAATTACCAATTGTTTGTTCTTGATTTTGTGTCAGAAAAGACTATTCCTTTCAAATCAGATGTGCCTTTTTTAAAAATGCACAAAAGAAACAGAATGTGATCCCATTTCTGCTATGGCCCATCTTATTCATTAGTGGATTACACAAGTCCCATATCACTCGCCTCCCATCAGGCGAGCTATTTCTTTTGTGAAASGACATAGGTGGATGAGTTTTGCTTTGCCAAGTCAAAGCAATGTGCTTTTTGAGTGATGGGGTCTGACACCACAAGTGGAAAATAAATTTAAAAAAAAAGAAAAAAGAGGGGGTGGGTTCCTTTTTCCCTCCTTTTTTTAAACCTGGGAATACGGCAGTACTCACAGTCAGGGAATCTCCTAGTGCTCCTATGACTTTGATATCAACAGGACTCAGCTCATGCACTACAGTAGGGAAAAAAAGGCAGAATTATTGATAACACACACACACACAAAATGCTGCTCATCAAAATAAAGAACAAAACTGTCAGTTCCAATTTGATGATTTTTTTACAGACTTTTAAGGAAAATAAGCCTAAAAAAGTTCTATTTGTCAGCTAAGCAAAAGGCATCGTGAGTAAATTGCAAGAGCTTATAATATCCTTAACTAACAGGATAATAAATGGATCTTAAAGCAGCTTCCACATGTCATATTAGGATGAAATAAAAACAGATTAGATACGTTTAGAGATGCATACATTCATTCAATTTTAATTGCTTTTAAGGTTTGGCCCACAGATCAATATTTCCCATTAGCTATATTCTTGCAAAGCTTTCAACTATGCAGAGGGCACCTTTGGTGCTCTTCATCGCAGTGGGTTCACCAGGTCGGTCAGACTTGCCAAGCCACTAACTTGTCCAGGAGATTTTAATCATGCTACAGTAGGATGACATGAAACACCTGCTGGGCTGCAGAGCTTGCTGTATATGGCAAGACAGACTTTCTTGACCTTCTGCTAAGGGTGCCGGTCTTTACTGCTTCCCTTCCATCTAGGATTTACAGCTTCCAGATCTTACTTGTTTTGAAAATAAAATGAGAAATCTTTCCTGTTTTTGATTTCAGCTTAGAAGTTCTCACCTGATGTCGGGGTAGGTCTAGATAAAGTCTGGTCAGAGCACAACAGGTCACTACCCCAGTTCTGAAGTGATAAACAAGAAGTCTGGTCATTTTACAGTTATACGATTATATGGAATATTTATGTAGTTGAATTCCACGATTAAGAGAAAAATAAAATCAAGATGGATATTCTAGTTTGGTGCTTAGCTAAGTGTACATGGATAAGAATCTTTCCCTTTCTCTTTGTGGAGTCTTGCCCAGTTTCACCTTTTTGGTGAAATTTTCCAAACATACCATTTTCTAGAGTCAAACATGTCATCTAGATATATCTTTCTTATGAAAATTTGTCAGAAGTGACAACTTTACCCCCCCCCTTCTTTAAAGCCTGGAGATTTTGTCCTTGGTTTAGTAGGTGAGGACTCCGTGTTTGAAGTCCTGCTCCAATCTGAAGTGATCTCAGATTTAAATGAACAAGCAACAAAAAGAACCAAAACATTCTGCAAAGTTCTATTCCCTACATATCTTAATAGAAGCTCCCTTTTTTGTGGAAATATTAAAATATTGCACACAACCTTTTGCTTTAACTTAATATAATATTTCTTAAAAGCCTCAACTGTTTCAGATAAACTGAGCTGCCAATCTTAAATCTGATTAAGTAATTATAATTKACTATATACTCACAAATAATATCATAGCTATTATGCTTATTCCATCAGTGATGAAACTGAGTCAAATCAAATGTTGCACAAACATCCCTGTTCACTCACAGAGGCACCTGATGAACATCCTACCCTATGCTCTTTYATAATGACAACAAGAATATTAGCTGAAAACATCACAAGGCAAAAATTGTAACGGTGGTGAGGGACAGTTCCCTGTAAGAGTGGAGATAKCTGTTCATTCTGATCTCAGAGGTGATGAGACAAGGGTTGGACTAAGGATTTCCTGAAGTCCCTTCCAACTGGAGTTGTTCTGTGATATGTCATTTAGACAAAAGCTACACAGACTAGTGGTCTTCAGGAAGTACAAGAGTTTCATGAGGTTAGCATCAAAAGAGGGAAAGGAGATCAAAAAAATCTTATATACAGCACAATATAGGAGGTTGTATCATAACCATTTTAACTTTCTGGTTAAAAACTRCTTCAAGAGGATAGAATCGACAGTTGGGCTTATTTTTAGATAAGAGAAGAACCTTCTTCTTGCAGTCTACTGTGTCTCAGTTTTATCATATTCACTGTCTCAACAATAGATCTTGAAGTGCAAGAATTAACCACCAACTCCTGTTAGTTCCCTATTGAGCATTTCAAGCTATGACTTGCTGAAGGAATAGTAGTTGTTGTTCCTCATAGACCCCAAGGCATAAAGAGCATTTCATAATCTGGAATCCCYGTTCCTGGAGAACGGGGGAGGTGCCGGAGGACTGGAAGAAAGCCAACATCACTCCGGTCTTCCAAAAAGGCAAGAAGGAGGACCCGAGTAACTACAGGCCGGTGAGCCTCACCTCCATCCCCGGGAAAGTGATGGAGCAGTTCATCCTGGCTGCTCTCTCCAGACACATGGAGGAGAAGAAGGTGCTCAGGAGTAGCCAGCACGGATTCACCAAGGGGAAATCCTGCTTGACTAACCTGATCACCTTCTACGAAGGAATATCTAGCTGGATAGATGAGGGCAGAGCGGTGGATGTCATCTATCTG